TTTTATATGTAATGTGTTTTCTTGAATTCCACCATCTATCTTAAGTGGTGGGTGACAAATATGAGTATGTACAAGGTTTGCTGCACTTGGTTTAGGTTTAGGCAGCTTACTTATGAGTAAATATACAGGGGTTTGCCACTGCTGGGAGCATGGCAAGTAGCCTGAAATAAGTTACTTGGCATGGGGGAAGGGCTGGTGGTATCAGAGAAAGCTAGTGGCTCTGCAGGAGCATTGGTGGGTCTATGGATCTAGTGTGTAAAGTACCCAGGACTTTGTCTTAGTCTTTCATTGTGCTCTGGCACGTGTCTAAGCATGATCTCTTTGTGCCACAGATTGTCTTTACATCTGTGTCTTGTATAGCACCAAGGATATTAATAATTAACTCTACTTATAGTTATAACTTGTTAGTCAAGAGCTCCCCACATATGCATGCTGCTAAATACAAAACTCTGTGATATATCAGCTTGCTTTCTTTATGCTGCAGTTTTCTAGCTACTCCTGTGCCAATTTAGGGCATTGAAACTAGTTCAAACAGGACTCTGCGCTTGCTTCATTCTCAAGGTGGATGTATGCAGCAGGGAGGGCCTTCTCTGTGTTTTTGCCTTTAGCAAAAACTGAATCTTAGTTCTGTAAAAAGAAATTTGTTCATTTCCAATATCTGTGAAAAAAGGGAAGTGGGCAGCCCAAAGAATGCCTTATGGTTTGCTTTAAATCTCTGTGTCGAGTTTGTTGTATTTTTGTCCGTCTCGAGCTTCCCAAACCATCTGAGGTCTGTGAATGGACTGAGGTTAGACGGGATTTCTCAGACTCTTTCCAAGGGTGAGCCACATCTGATTTTTGTGGACAATCTCTCTTCCTAGTCATGATCACATGGACTGTCTCTTCTTCCATTTTCTGTCTTGGGCATGTGGTTGTGGCAACCACAGCAGTGCCTTACAAAGGAGAATATATTCTTCTTTTTCTTTTAATATAATCCAGCATCTCTGGAAACAAGTACGAGAATTAGCACCATGTGGCCAGCCAACTCTTTGGCCCACCAGCAAGCACTCCCCAGACCAGCTGGGGTCTGGGTTCGGGGATGGGCAACCAGGGTGAGAGATGTTGTTTCAGTTACTTGGGTCTGTGCTACAGATGTCCTAACGGATGGTAACAAAACCTGGGTTCATGGACTGTTGTTTGTTGTATGGTTGAGGGGGGGATGCAGTTGAATTCTGAGAAATTCTATTTCCAGATGGTGCATGGGAGAATAGACTGACTTCTGTCCCTTCTTGCGTGTCTTTCTGTGTATTGCAGGACCTGTCTGGGTCAATAGATGATCTCCCCATGGGTACCGAAGGAGCCCTGAGTCCTGGAGTAAGCACGTCAGGGATATCCAGCAGCCAAGGAGAGCAGAGTAACCCAGCTCAGTCTCCTTTCTCTCCACATACCTCTCCTCACCTACCAGGAATCAGAGGACCTTCCCCTTCCCCTGTTGGATCTCCTGCCAGTGTTGCTCAGTCCCGTTCTGGCCCACTCTCACCTGCTGCTGTACCAGGTAAAGGTATCCAGCCTGTGTATACTTTCTCGTGTCTCTACCAGACCTATGTGAAGAGCCGGATTAAAATGGGCAGTTAAGGAAATTTGTCAGGAGCCAGACTACTTTGACACAGAGGTTCCTGTGCTAATATTTAGTTGTTTAATGGCCATGACTTGCAAGGAGCAGGCTTTTAAATATATGCTGCAAAGCCTTTAGTTGATTAACTGATCATGCCATGGCATGATCTTGTGTGTATTATAAGGAAAAATTAATTTAACTCTTTCCTCTTCCTTTACCCATTGTTTCTCTTCGCCTACCTCCTGTAGACTTTTTTTGTAGCTTCAGTATCTACTGTGATGGCCTCAAGCCTGTGCACTCTGGATTCTCTTGTATGTGATTCTTGAGGATAACATGCTTGCTTCTTTCCATGCTGCAGGCAATCAGATGCCACCCCGACCACCCAGTGGGCAATCGGACAGTATCCTGCATCCTTCCATGAACCAGTCGAATATAGCCCAAGACCGAGGTGTGTGCATGTGTTACAGGTTTCAACTGTACATTTCTGAATGCAAAGCAGGATGTATAAAGGAAAATTATTTGGACTGTGCGCTCTTGAAGCAATCCCCTTTCACGTGTGAGACACTATTGGATAATATTCTGTTTGAAAGATCTGTCACAGCTGTGGAGGTTTGGGATGCATCCCAGCAGAGTTGACTGTTACCAGTCTTCTGGATACCGCATATTTTTGTTTTTTATGTTTTTTTTTTCTTTTTTAAAGAGGCTAGTTCTCTTCAGCTCCTCTTCTCTTCGAAGAGCATCTTCTCTTCAGCTTTTAAAAGAACTTTCTGAGAGGGTTGCTTTTCCAAGAGCCATGGCCTTAAATGTATGGTGTTTTACAACAGTTTTGGGCTCCCGACAGAAGAGCAGAGTTGCTTGGAGAAAGATGAATGTATAGTAAATCAGCATTTGCCAGCTCTTACTATGCAGTGCTGCTGCACACTGCAGATTTTTCCCAGTTAGATTGGCAGTAGAAAGTGAAATATCATTGTGAATGTTGGTAACTTTTTAAAATAGCAATTGCTGTAATATCTGTGCTGGGGCTGTCACTGGAATGTTTTCTCAGGGAATTCCCTTGAGCGCAGGGCGTGTGTGGTAGTAAGCTTTGGGATAATTGTGTCAATAAGTGCCTCGTTTGAATGTCTCGTTGATCAGGTTACATGCAGAGGAATCCTCAGATACCCCAGTATAGCTCCCCTCAGCCTGGCTCTGCCTTATCTCCACGTCAGTCTTCTGGTGGACAGATGCATGCCGGGATGGGACCTTATCAGCAGAACTCCATGGCAAGCTATGGACCGCAGGGGGCTCAGTATGGGCCTCAAGGTAAGAACGTGGGCCAGCTGTATAGGATGAGAAGCTGATGGACCTTTGCTGCAGGACTGTTGAAAGATGCACAGCCCATAGCTATTGTCCTTTGTTGTTAACGGATTGCATCCAGAACACTGATGTGAAAGGGGCTATGCTTTGTGAGCCTTGCTTGAAGATAATGACAGGTCCCACTGCTCAGAGAACTAATTTGCTTGGGTTAGAGAACTTCTTGGTACTGGACTGAAAGCCCTCAGATAGCACATCCAGCATTGGAGACCTGATGATCCTTTTCCTCTTCTGATGGGCTCAATAGTTCCATAGTGCTTTTGAGTTGATGCTGTTTGTTGTTTTAAGACATCATTTTATGTGGATTAGTTGTAAATACTTTGACTTCATGCGGGTGTGCTAGAATCCCCCCTCACCTTCCTGATCTTTTGTCTGCAACCTTTTAATTGAAGATTTGTGTGGCAGGTCAGATGCTATCTTGCTGAATGTCGCCCTTCTCCGCTTTGTCTCTGCAGGAGGCTATCCCAGGCAGCCAAACTACAATGCCATGCCCAATGCCAACTACCCCAGTCCCGGAATGGGAGGAACCATGAACCCAATGGGAGCAGGGAGCCAGATGCATGGCCAGACTGGTGTGCCACCTTATACTGGGCTTCCCCCGGGAAGGATGAGCCATGCAACCATGGGGAACAGGCCCTATGGACCCAACATGGCAAATATGCCTCCTCAGGTGGGAACAGGGATGTGTCCCCCGCCAGGTGGCATGAACCGGAAAGCACAAGAAGCAGCTGCTGCTGCCATGCATGCTGCTGCCAACTCCATTCAGAACAGGTAAGATGCAAAGTTGCCCTGTGTCTCTGTGTATCCTCAACCCTTTCCTTCAGCATTTCTGGGGCTGACCCTGCATTTAGCCTTCAGAAGGACAGGCCCTCCAAGAAGTCGTTTCCATCACTGAAGGTTTAGGGAGGTACAAATGCAGTGTTTGGCTTCATGACACATTTGAGTTCAAATGTGGCTTGCAATTTTATGCAGCTTTTCCCGTGAGCAGAGATGCCTTGCTTGATTTTGAGACCTTGCCTGTGTTAGCTGTTTTGTTGCTCAGGTAGAGTGTAAGATGGAGCATGCCTGGAAGAGCCAATAAATCCAGCAGGCTGTCCTTTTTGCTTCTTTTTGTCAGTCAGGGTATGAAACTTAAGTGCTATTCACATTTTCCTGTAGTCTTGATGAGCACTAGAACAGGGCAAAGCAGGATTTGGAATTCGGTCCCACAGGGAAGAGCAGCATGATTTGTACAACGAAGGGGAGAGTTATGTTGGATATGAATGCCAACCAGGGTGGCCAGGAGAGCACATAGGCTGGGATGTCTTAGGTGCCACTGAGAACCGATCGAGCATCCTGTCTTCGGGTTTTGTATGACCACCTGTTGCCTGATCATACAGGATCCCGCTAGTGAAATTTTAGAGTTCGTAGTGGGAGGTGTGGAAGCATAGAGGCTTTTTAAAATTGAAAACCAAGTTTCAGTACACTTGAGTTAGTTGAGTAGGATGCTACAGCCTCCATTGCAGAGAGAAATAATGGTTAATTTAGACAGGGTTCAACTTGGGGATCCAGCCAAGAGGTAAAATTTTCACAAGTGCTGAAGTCCCACTTTTTCAAAACTGTTTTGAGCCCAGACTCACTTTTGAAAATTAGGGTTTAGACTATGATGTAGTTTAGGTGTTCCTGATGGAAAAAGCATTCTTCCTTAGCTTGTTAGTTTTGTTTCAGCTGCAGCAGTGCCTCTATTAGCAAGCCCATACCAGTACAATACAAGACCCTAATGCTTTTGTTCCCTTCCTCAGGCCACCTGGCTATCCCAACATGAACCAAGGTGGAGTGATGGGGACTGGGCCTCCTTATGGACAAGGAATCAACAGTATGGCTGGCATGATAAACCCCCAGGGTGCTCCATATCCCATGGGAGCAAATATGGCTAACAACTCCGCAGGTAAGCCATTGCTGACCCGCAGCAGTTCACTGGATTTCATGGTACTGGATTGAAATACAGTGTTTGAAGATTCTGTTTAATTTTCTAGGGATGGCAGCAAGTCCTGAGATGATGGGCCTTGGGGATGTCAAACTAACACCTGCAGCTAAAATGAACAACAAGGCAGATGGGACGCCAAAAACAGAATCCAAGTCAAAGGTAAAGCGTGTCTTCCTGTTGTCTTCCCAGGTGTCAGGGAAGTGGGAGAACATGACCTTTGTACACCAGTTTTAATTGAGCATGTGTTCAGGACCACGGTCTAATGGCACAACTCTGTTCAGTGCCTGATGAGTGTGTTCCACTTGCATTTAAAATGATAGCATGATTCTTGAAGGAAGGTCTGCGTGGTTGCCTTTTGTCTGCATCCCACCTATGAAATCTATTTATCTGTCTGACCGTTTATCATGTTACTTATGAAACACTGCACCTTCATGGCCCAATCCTGGTGGGTGACCTGATGTCTGCAGCGCTTCTGACCTCACACAGGCAAATTTGCCATTATATTTGGGTGGCAGGTTGTGTCAGAATAGGCTCCAATTCTGTGTTTGGCATTGTTCCCATTTATTATTGTGGTGCTGTTGTAATGGTGCTTGAAGACGCCAATCAGGAGCCCGCACATGAGGGGTTATATATGCAGACATGTACGCTGATTTGGTCTTTGCCCAAGGAGATTGTCATCTTTCCCCTCAAAGTATCAGTGTAAATGTTACTTTCTCTGTCTTCTGCAACTGTGGTCCATTAGACCAGGAAATCCCATATCTCCTTTAATAGAGTGACTATAGTGGTCGCGCACCTGCCAAAAACTGATATTTTCTCCTTTCACCCCTTATATTGGTAGGAAACCAAATCTGTTGTTATATCAGAGTTCATCTATAACCTCTACCATTATGATACAGAATATTGAATGTGCGTTTCCTAAAGATACTGTCTCTACAGAATTCCCCTTCCCTGGTCTTAATGACTGTAGCAAGATGAGAACTCCTCAGCTTTCAAAGGCTTTGACCTTCAGAGGGCAGCAGTAGAGGAGGCATAGTGTTTGTCAGCCCTCTCGCGAGTCTAATATGTATACCATCCTCACAAACACTCCTGTTGGGCCCTTGCCTCTTGGCGGTGATGGGGAAAGCTCCCTGCTGGATATGGCATTGAAGGCACATGGTGGTACCGAGAGACCACCTGATTTACTCATGTCTTCCAGTCAAGCTACCTCGAGTATACCATAGCAGTCGGCATTTGGTGCAAGTGTGGTTTGATGGACCGGGGCTGAGTGACTGCACGCACAACTTGGTATTTCCCCCAGCAGTTAGTGCCTAGTTGGGCTCCTGCCTGTGCAGTATGGTTCAGTGTTCTTCTCTGTCCTGAGGTTTTCTTTGGAAGATCAGTGCTAGAGTTACAGGATTCCTGTGTCTTATGTGGAGTCAAGCTGCTTTGTGTACTGGTGTCTATGCTAGCTCCATTAGTAGTAGATTATTGGTCGCTTTTTAACATCTCCTGTTTTTAATTTGAAGAATAGAAAAGCCTTGGAGCTACAGGTGACCAGGTCAGTGAAGCACAGCTGTAGTCAGGAAAATGAAGTGGTTGGCTGCATAGCCTGACTTAGCTGACCGTGGTATACAGAGGTGCCAAAATGGATCACAGATGTTTCCCCATGCTCTTGTAAAATGTGGCCAGCACCTCCAGATGCTTTCTTGAGGCATGGCAGGTCTTGTGTGAGGGTTTTCTCAGGGCATTCGGAAGACCAAAGCGTGAGTTTGCCAAACCACTGAATGTTGAGTTTCTGTCTCACTTGCCTAAGTACAGACCCATCTCTCTCAGAGAACCTGGCAAGCCAGCTTCAGTAAGTCAATGAAGGTCAGATCAAGGTGGTCTAGGGCACCATAAATATGGCAGACACTCCCAAGAGACATCCCTGGAAATGGTGCAAGTATCCAACTCCTGGACATCTTGTACCCTCCACCGCCTGTGCAATGGCCTGCTGAAACCTGTGGAGTGCATCAGCATCCATCCACTCTGGCCACGTTCGACTGAGCAGACAGTTTATTAAATCACTTCCAGGAGACTCTTTACCTTCCCAGTACAGGGCTGGGTTTGGTAGTTATGGTACCAGAGACATCAGTGGCATTTGTACACATGTATGCGTCACAGCGCCAGGCGCTTTTAAAAGCACCTGGTGCTGCATCGCATGCATTTGTATAAATGGTGAAATGTGTGTCAGTGGCAGCACACTTTTTTTGAATTAAAATACACTGAAGGTTCAAAAGCGCACAGCTGCCACTTTCTGCACACTGATGCGCATTTCACCATTTATACAAATGCGTGCAATGCAGGACTGGGTGCGTCGGCTTGCCTGCTCCGCAGACTCAATTAATTGAGTCTGCTCCAACGCGCTGGATTTCTGGCGCGTTGGAGCAGACAAAGGTACATATGTAAATGCTCCAGAACACCAGGGATGTTGGTAACGTTTAGCCAGAAAGACTCAAAGTGACTTTTGGATAGGTTGGAATATAAACCTGATAAATAAATCTGTTCGAATGCAAAGTATCAATCTGCCGGTCTTTGGCACAACTGATTACCACACATCTCTGTTCAAATACAGTTGTTTTGAATAGGGACAGTCAGTCTCTCAATCTGAGTCTTCTGTAAGACCATTCACAGGACTAAAGACCCCCTTGTATCCAAAGAATGTCTGAGATATAATCCATGCAGCCTTGACTGATAGCACGAGATGCACCCAACACAACAGCCCGTACTATGGCTAGAGCAGCAGGCAAGAGAAGATCGCCCTGGCTCCAGTCTTCATGGATTCCAAGGAAGGTCTAAACAGCCAAGGACTTTTCTTTCAGAGGGCAACGAACTCTTCAATTGAGATGCGGACGAGGCCCGTCAGAAAAGAAGCAAGCAAGAGCACAGGGCTTGGGAGCATTCCTTTTGAATTATTGTTCACAACCTTGAAGGGACTCAAGAATTGCCAAGACTTGATCTGTGCTGTTGCTGCATGGCCTGTGTCTTCCCTTTGTCACCAGCCTTGAGAGTCTGGCAGAGGCTTTGGGTTGTGACCTATTTGCTGTTTCTCCCACCTTGGGCAGCTGCCTCTTAATTTTGGGCCAGTGGGTCTGGAAATTGTGAAAAGGCTATCGTGTTCTTGCACACACTTTATCTCCCTGCCTACTTTATTTTCAGTGACCCTTTTTGAGATTTATTCTGTTAAAACAAAAGGGGGATGTCCTTCTGCAAATGTTAGCGGTGTAGGAAGTGCCTGTGGAGTTCTGGAAGCAGGATTTTATTCCTGTTATGTTCTCAGCTCAGTGAAAAGTTGGCATCCCATTCTGGACTTCTGACAATTGGTTTTGTGATTTCAAGGTCAGGACAGTAACTTTAGCTTCTACAATTCCCTTGCTAGGTTCTCAAGATTGGCTCATTGTACTTGACCCACAAGAAGCCTGCTTTATATATTCACTTGGTTGATCTGCAGGAATATCTCTCATTCCTAGTGGAAAAGTCTCTACTAGTAGAGGAGCCTGTGCTGCAAAAAAATAGCTATGTTTTATGTCAACTGATAAGGGAAAGCACAATAATTTCAGCTCTGAGGCAGGTGCATATTGAATCAAATATGCCACTTCCTTGGCTCCCATAGCACCTTGGCAGACCAACTCAGCAGGCAAGCATAAGTGGCCTGTCAAACTCAATCCTGCCAAATGTTCCTTTTTTCCAAGCAGAGATCCCTAGAAATACCTGCGCTAGCTGTGGACCAGGGTGCAGTCAGACATTTTGTTCCAGAGGCAGTTCAAGCCAAGGTCCCCTGCGAGATGCTCCTCTCTCTTCTGGGTCATTGGGACTAAGTTGCACCTTACTTCAAAACTGAAGCCAGATGCAGGGCTGGTGCTGACTGTGGCCTTAGCATAGATCTAGCAATTCTGGTATTTTGGTCTGATGGAAACCTTTCAATACAGTCCTTCATCATTACTTTACCTGCCCTGCTGAACAGTGCTGTGAAACGATCTGGTCTTGCTCACAGACCCAACTTTAACTCTGTCAACTTGGACATTGGCTGGATGATGTCTACTGAAAGTGCTATTCTGTACCCTCCACCTCCCCGTTTAGCATTGGATAGCAATCTGGTTGCTCTTTGAGCATCTCAGCATCAGTTGTTTCCTTTGACATTGCTCGCTCCCCCATTGCTGAACTGCCTTCCAGCTGTGAAATAATATGGGCTTTGACAGCTCTGTAGGGTCCCTTTAGCATTAGTACCTGCACATCGCCTTCCTATCCAGGCTGCACTGTCATTTACCCCCTGTACCAGTAAGTGTATTGAAGGCCTCTTCCCCTTCTAACCCTCCCTCTTTAAGAAGGCCCTCTAGGCCCCCATTGTAAGTGGGATTGAGGGATCCTCCAATGTGAGCATTTAGCAACCTGCTTCCCTGAAACGCATATGAAATCCATTTTGGTGGCCATTATATCAGTTTGAAGGGCAGGAGAAAGCATGGCCTTTCATGGTCTTTCTGCAGTGTTTTTAAGGATGGACCTTGTCCCAGGTTTCCGAGGTTTTTCAGAACTGTGACCCATTTCTTTTTCATCTCCCAAGTCTACTTCTCAAAACCCGTACTCAGCTTCAAGAAAGATTAAACTTTTATGGTAGTAAGACTGCTGTCTTCACATAGACAAGACGGATGCTTGGGACTATGCTTAGACTAACACCTCTCCGCAGGAGAGGTGAAGGGCGGGTGCAGTATCATCCTTTTCTGATTTAAGGTCTGTAAGTATATGGAGATTGGCTAATTTATCACAAATTCACCCCCTAGTCCGATTAATGACTTGGTGTTTCTTGCGTGTTACAAGAATGCCCCTGTCTCTGGAGTGTGTAGGGTAACTATGAAATGAAAAGGGTAGGGGGGAGATGTTTCTGATGATTGAAGAGCTGAGGGATGGCTCCATATCATCCTGGAACTTGAAGGAATGCCTGGTCAAAAAAAGGCTCCTTCCGTCTTGTAAAGTCATTTTCTTAGCGGCAGCGACTTCAGCTCATACGTGGTGCTGCAGACTTGCCCCACGTTTCTCTAAGTGGTGCTAGAGTTTCTTTAATGATCCTGTTTTCTTACATCTGCATGCCCAACCTGGGCAGTTTTCCACGTGTATCACCACCAATCCAGGCATCGGTTTTGTTA